CAATGAAGACATTTAAGGGGTGCCATGATACTGAAATATTTGGCTATTCCATCTAAGCTAACAGCTTGTACAATGTATAGAGGTTGATTTTATTTTTGTTCCTCTCAATGTTTACATATTGTGCTTTTTGTAACTAATTCTGAATCGATATGAAAGTGCAAACTGATACTGGGATATGCACATATGACAAGACTGTTTCTTTTTCAGACTGTTGAACATGAATCAGGTTAAAGTCTTAGATGGAAATGTTACACTAGGGCTGAGTCAAGCCACATTGTGTACAATGTTAATCCTTCCCTTGAAGTGTCAGCTAATGCACTATCCTTTTTATTCCCTCTTTTTTTCTCGAGTATCCTATTAGATTTCAGTTTAAATGGAGGCTGCTGTAAACTCAAATTGCTTCAGGACTTGTGCTGTGCCCTAATTGCATAGAATAGGGTTTTATTTTGTCTCTCAATTTAATTGTTACTACTTGAATTTCATTGGAAAGAGACAGTGACGGCAGGCTTCGACTCACTACAGGACTTAAGTTTAGCAGCCGACCCAAAGCTACCTTTGGGAAGAGTGTCATCATCTGCTCGTGCGTTAGTCCGTCGTTAAAGGAAAGACGTCCTTTACCGTAATTGGATGACGGAAGTGTGTTGATGTAAGCGCAATATAAATGAGCACCACGGGCTAGCCTGTGGCTTTACTGCTGTGCTACTGTAACTGAGTGGTGTGATTAGCCGGTGTGAATGCTGTGTGTCGAGGCGGATTGGCTCCCTGCTTTTGCTCCATCATTAACACCATACTGCTCTTCCCTGGTGGGCTCACTTCCATCTCCGTCACACGCTGTTGTGTCAGCTGAAGCCTGCCACTGCATTTTCCTCCCACTTTAGGCACTTGATGTGTCATGTCGGTCTTATCTAAAATAGCTGAAATGCACCGCCGGTGACAGTCTAGGTCTGTTCGACGGGAAATAACCAAAACAAAAGACGCATTTTAAGTTGAGTTGTTCTGTGAATTCGATAATTGATCCATCCCATGCTCCACGGTTTAACTCCCATGGAGAGTTTCTCTCTTTCTCAGGTCTACCTGTGCCTCTTCTCACGTTCTCCCTTGACTTTTACATCGACTGAGTCTCTCCACCTTTATCAGGGCAGGCCATCTGGCAGTGGAGCATGGGTATTGTCAGACATTGGTGGAGCAACTGCAGATGAGCGAGTGGGTGGAGCCGTGACTCCCAGTATCATAACCTCCCTGTTTGCCCCTCAGAAGCCTTAAATATTTGATCCTTGAACTGTCCTTGACAATAGGCATGGTGTAGAATATAAATGAATGATATTTAGCTAAATTTGTTTTTGTGAAAACGTAAATCGGGGGAACAAAGTCCCGAAGGGAAGAGGTTTCTTTTGTATTTAGCAATGTATGTGTAGTACTGGGCTGTAACAGTTTTGCATTCACACCACATCATGTTATGTTTCCCCACACTAGCATCTTTATTTGCTCCGTTTACCATTGCAGCAAAACCTGTTCCAGTCCTTTCCCGTAATGGGCGAACGCATTCGTCAGAAACGCAAGCTCGACTAAAAGGTTTGCGTAGAGGCTGATGTTTTTCAATAACACCAGGCCTAGTTTAAGTTTTCACGTCAGGATACGTTGCCCATGAAGCTGCTATTTTATTCCGACTACAAAAAGTTATTTCTTATAAATGTTGTGAGGATAGAGTTAAGATCTAATTTATATTATGCCTTTTTTTGCAATGCAATATTGTTAATAGGTTGAGCGTCGGTAGGTATAATAAGTTATTCCATTTGCCTGTCGACCATGTCGTTGTAAAGCTTGAACGTTTAGACATCCTGTATTACTTTTGATCCTCTTTTCATGCCTTGTTACAGCTCAAGAGTACAAAGTCAGGTTACTCTTTTAATAGTTACTATCTCTATGTGAAGTGCCTCCTCTGGGCTGATGTGGACCGTGTGTATGTGACCGTAGGGATGGAAAATGGACCAGCGCTAGTGCACACTCCATAGACGTAGTGCACTGCTCACGATCGGGGGACCGAGCTACTTTAAAAACTACTGATATCGTTCAGAAAAAAAAATGAACACCGTGTGCTGCTGCAGGTGCAAGATCTGTTCGGATGTGAATAGTTGCTGCTGAATCACTAATTTAGGTGGCGAGAGCTACGCTGCTGAACTCCCTAGTGTCCTTGAAACATTCGAAGGAATGCTCTAGACAGTTCTTTGTCTTTTGGAGCACATGCACTCCTGCCCCCATCACCCCCCACCCCCCTTCCCAAAACAACACAATGGCAGTTTTGGACTACAGGAGTGTGTGTTAGGAGTTGAGTGTGTCTCATCTTGTTCCACCAAAGAACAAAATGTTACTTGAATGGTAGCAGTGCGCACCTGTTTTGTGTAACCGAAAACTGTCATTCCAGATACACATTTTTTCAGGAACGTGTTGCACAAACATTCCCCTCTAACCAAAATAAAGTTTGACTTGCAGTTGCAAAGTGTGTCTTGTCTGTTTTTGTTTTCTTGTATAGTTGAATATTTCACTGATTATTGAATAAAACGGGTTACAAAAGTAGGCCTAATTATTTTGGATTAATAAGACATTATGTTCAGACATATTCACCTATATTTGAGTGCACTCACCTCCTTTCATTTTTGCATTAAAATGTGTTTTCCTCAGCTTTTAATCAGTAATAATGTAAATTATAATAGAATCAAATATTATCTCTACTTAAGACTGATTTTTCAGGTCCGGCTATTGAATTTTCAGTATGTTGTGTTGGAAAATCTAAAAACAACATAATCTGATGAAATAAAATATCGTTTGTCACATGTATTTTAAGTAGTAGCCATTTTGTTTGCGGGTGTTGTTGGCTACCTACTTAAAATGAAGGAAATTACCTTTTTAAAAGCCTATTCAAGCAGTTTCTTAAAATTAGGCTATTCTGTACTATACTTACCATAGCCTGTGTATTAGTAACCATAGACATATAAATACCTAGACGCCTCATTGGCCGTTTCGGTCCGTTGCTGCGATACGTCAACGCGTCCGCCATATTGGTGCGGGCAAGAGTTCCCTGTAAACAAACGCAACGAACGGAGTGCTGCGGTTTTTCTGTACAAAAATATGACAACGTTTGTTTTTATCAACTGATATTATTGGTTTATGATCTACGTGGTGTACAAAAAAAATCCAGATACTTAAAATCTCGATAGTTAAATTAGATATTAAATAAATTTAACTAAGGAATTACAAAAGCTCACACTTGTATAAATTAAATCTTCTCAAAAAGTATTTTCTGTGTTTAACCTCACCATTTCAGCTTTTCTTGTGCTTCAGGTCAGAACATACCTCGCTCCCTTTGAAATACTGGGAAAACAAATGCCCATCTTAAGTAATAATTTACCAAAATTGAGAAATGGAACAAACTGACAAATACAAATCACACTGGCAGGCTCCTTTCTATATTTTTATAGCACTAAATTGATGCAATTATTTACAGGTACATACTCCAAAACAGACAATAACAAAGATAACTGATGGCTTTATGAAAATACATATGTGATTTGGTACAACAACAGTTCAGCAAATATATCTG